TGAGCCGAAAAATGGTGCTTTATATTTTTGCTTCATTCCTGTTCCAAACAATGAGCAAAGAGGGGTAGCTGTAATCACCATTTTTTCATTTTTATTATATTATTATTTTTATTTATTTACTATTATTATTATTTAAAATATTATTACAAAACTAGAAAAAAACCCAAAAAATAGTGCCCAATATCCAAACCAGCCAAATCGACCCAAATTAACACCCTATTCCTAAATCTAACCTAACCCTAATATCCCTTCAATTGTTGCCGCCGCCACCAGATCTATTTTTCCATATACCTTCGTCCGTCGACTGAAGCATCGACTTCGAAGGTTTTTTCGGGGTCTTTAGGTTTTTTTTAGTAATTTAGGCTATATATCTAGGCTTAGAATGATAAATCAAAGCGAAAGGCCTATTTCGGGTTTCATTTAGGAGTTCTGAGCGTCGTATGTGGAGGTCGGAGTAGCGATGTGAGGTGACCGGTAGTGGGCCAACCGAGAGAGAGAGGAGAGAGTTTTAGGATTTGTTTGGGATTTTTGGGTGAAATAAAAAAACATAAAAGTAACTTTTATAAGAAAAGTTAGGGGTAAATTGTTGTTTAGTCCCCCTAAGTTAGCTGCGATTTTTCATTTTGGTAACTTGTAAGGACCAAAATTGGTATTTACCCTTATTCACGCGTCTTATACATTTATTGGGTTATTTGTTGTTAGTCCCTCTAAATTTAGCGCATCTCTACATTCTGGTCATCTATGAGTACCAAAATTGTTATTTACTCCTTTTTCTTGTATGTTAAATGTTTATTGGAATTTTTACTGTTTAGTCCCCCTTATTTAAGAGTGCTTTTGCATTTTGGTCATATGTAGTGACAATTTAATTTTATTTTAATTTGGTTGGACTAGTTTCATAATTTTTGCATTTTTATTTAATAGTAAATTTTAGGTTTTAAAACGATGGATGATTAGGTTTTAGCCCCTACAACTTTGGCGTGTTTTTTTATTTTAATCATTAACCTGTTTTTTTATTTTGTTTTGATTTAGTCACTTAATTTTTAATTCGTTTTAATTTGGTCTTTCTTACATGTTTAATTTATTCTTTTTAATCCCTATAATTTAATATTAATGCAATTTAATCCTTACATACTTTACTTGTTTTTTAATTTTTGCATGTTTATTTTTTTTTCAAATGGATTTGTTATTTTAGTTTTATTTAATTAGTTTTTTTTTATAATTTGTCCTTAGATTAGATTTGTAAATTAAATTTGATCTATAAATTAGGATTTCACCTTATTTTTAATTAGGGAACATTTCAATTCAGGTTTTCGCATAAAATGCCCGATTACTCGAATCGATTGTTCGAACCCTTAATTTATTAATCAATCACTAATTTTAATTTATTTTTAAAACAAATTAATTGGGATTATCAGACCTTTGATTTATTGACCAGTCCTTAAACCTTAAGTATTATAGACTTAGATCCTTAAACCTTAAACTTTTACAGTTAGATCCCATGATTTTAGTTCTCTTACATTTTGGTCCTTAATGTTTTAATTAGATTTTTAAATTAATACAATTAAATAGGTTAATATTAAAGCCTCCATTTAGATTAGCTTTCAATTTAGTTCCTTTAATTTAAGGAATTATATGAGTTGGCCCTCGCCTAAATGCTAAAGGGATCATCTCAATTATTTGATTCTATAATTAATTAATTAAAAATAAAATAATATTAATATTAGAGCCTACATTTTTAGATTTGAGCCTCTAGGTTCTTTAATTTTTATAATTTGACACTGTAAGCTAAAAAAGACTTTAATATATCCATATTTTAATTAGGATTAATAAAAATTTGTTTGATTGTATCTTATTTTAAAGCCTAAGGAAATGTTCACTTATTAGGGAGTCAATAGTATATCTCCCGCAAGTATGCTGAGGGGGTGACTACTGGTGATTCTCGAAATAGGTCGACATCCTTTTCAAGATTGCATCATGATTTATAAAATTAAAGCAATGTCCTGTTATCGGGCACAATAGTTGATCTCACACGTTCATGCTAGGGGCGAATGCTAATGGCTTTAATAAACGAATACCCTTTTCAACTTTGCATCTGTAATGATTTTTAAATTAGATAAAGTTCGAACTCAAAATTTTTGATTGTAAATATAGGGTAATCAACTAGGTACCAATTTTTGGGCGCTTGTGGGGTGTTAATCCCTCCCCACGCGTAACCGAGTCCCAAACCTTATTTTTGGATTTTTGCAAACCCAAAACTTGATATTTTAATAAAAATAAAAATATTTTATTAAAATCACATGGTTTTTTATGGTGTCCCAATTACACCTTAAAATGATTGGTGGTGACTCCTCACATTTCAGAACCTTTTCAAATAAAAAACCCCTAAGTTGGTACTTGTTTTTTCCACCCGTGTAATGGCTCTGCAACAACACTATTTTTCTTTCTCATGTGGGTAGTAGTGATAGTCTTCTTCTTGTTAATTGCTTTCAATTTTTTAGTTATTTCCTTGGTGAATAACATGTTATCAGTCAAAGTATATGTACTTCTGTTAAGGGGATAGATTTATTCTACTGGGACACAAAAGATACATACATGGCTGGGACAGTACAAATACTGGATTTTAATTGTCTGGGTTAGTCTTAATGCTAATCATGCCTATATAGTTTACTGGTTTTATACTTAGTGATGTAAATTACTATTACCGAGAAAGCAGTCATGGTGGCCGCAGTTGATGAATGGACGGCTGTTAGTGTATTTGTTGAATTCCAAATTATTTGGGATTGGCGATTTGATAATGAATGTGTGAAATAATTTGGTTCGTGGATTAATAGTATATTTTTAATTGAAGTAAATTGTAATACATTGTCTTAGCCTACTTACAATCATTGGGTTTATATAACCCAAACCTATAACCAACTATTAATCAACCTAACTAATTATAGTTGACTCAATCTTATATTCTAACATTTATCTTGTTTCTTCAATTTTTTTTCTTTTTATTCTAATTTCTATTTTCTTTTGTGAGATGACATCAGTAACTTGATTAATAAACTGAAATTGTCATTGACAACAAGACGTTTTTCATTTCCAATCTTTCATCCCTCTTCTTTAACCTTCTCTTTCCTTCTCCACTGTCTTTCTTCTTCAATACTTACTGAAACTTTTTTTTTTATTAGAAGTAAGGCGGTCAAGCTACAAACCCTCAGCTGTAATATGAAGTCTCTTTTAGACAAGAAGACATCCTATTTATATGATTTATAAAAGTTAAACTGTTAAACACTATACTCTTCCTATATTTTTTTTTCTCCTTCACAATGGATACTTGACTGTTAAGCTAACTTGTGATAGAAAACAAACAACACAAGAAACTTTCCAAACGAACTTCTCTTGGGTGAAGAATCTGTTTTCAACATCAATTCAGACTTACACATCAACAATCTTAAGAAACCAACATTCACATAATTAGGCAAAACCCAAACCATAACCAGTTATTAATCAACCTAACTAATTACAGTTGGCTTAATTTTATACTCTAACATTATCTATGAGTTCCTTTTTTTTTCCTGTTTTAATCATTGAGATCCCTTAATGAATTTATATTTATTGTAATATTTTTTTATGACAATTCATTTCTTAATGTTTTATATTTTCGTGCTTTTAATGTTGGTACTTGTAATAACTGTAAGTATCATAAAATTAACACGATAGGTAGAATATAATAATAGTAATGTAATTAAATAATTAGAATAGTTATTCCATATTTAAGTATTTAATCTCTTATTAAAATTAAATTACTTAAATATACATGCAATTAATCACACTACAAAATTAATTTCTCTTATGCTATGCTTTTAAAACTATTAGTATGGTAATGAAACACAAGCATACCAATAATTCATTGAATGCCCCTGTTTCTAAAATTTTGCTACCCCTCGGGTGAATCAAAAAATTACGTCCTTAATTAAGAATTAAATTACAATTTGTATTTGTGTTTTTGATCGAATTGTGTTTATCGATGATGCATATATAACTAATGATATTACGGTCACTGCAAGTATCGTGATTCTGATTTTTTAATAACATATGCTATTGTTGGCATAACGGTCGTAGATAACTAGATATCACAGTTTTGGATGATGTCGTTACTACTATTTAATGATCGTTGTTGTGGTTACAGACTGTTATTTATGTAATTGTTCCTAATAACAAGTGTTGAAAAAATAAATTCTAAGGATAACTCCATAATAACAAGTATTAAAAATTTGAGTTTCTAATAACAAATATTAAAAATTAAATTTTAAGAGTATGTTCATAATAATAAATATTGAAAAATTTTGGACCTCTAATAAGAGTATTGAAAAAATTGGACTTATAATAACAAATAGTAAATATTAAAAAATAAAATAAATTTTAAAAGTATGCCCCTAATAACAAATATTGAAAAAATTAGGTGTATGATAACAAGTATTGAAAAAGTTGGACCCTTAATAACAAATATTATAAAAAAATACTGAAAAAAGTTAGGCACTTATACAAATATTAAAAAAAAATTATAAGAGTATGCCTATAATAATAAATATTAGAAGAAAATTGAACTCATAATAATAAATATTGAAAAAATTAAACTCATAATAACAAGTATTAAAATTAATTGGGCCTTATAATTGATATGAAACTATATTTTTTTACAAGCATAATATATTATAAAAATTACGGGCTTGGCAGCCCCTCCTGCCCATGCCCAGACATGACCCTGAATGCATATAGTACCTATCCAAGGACTAGAGTCTTAACTGAAGATAATGGATTCACCTAAAATTTTAAGGTCTTATGTGAATTCAATTCATGGTTTCTTTGAAGTTGAACAATTACAAATGTTGAGTAACAAAATATATGATGAACAACGAATACAGCCTTGGAATGATGCAGTTGCTGCAGCATCCAAAGAAAGATGATGAACTCTGCAATACATTTTTAGGACATTTTTCAAGATTACATGGAGTTGTTCATATATAGAAGTTAGGCTCATGACAATAGGTCTTTGCAGGGTATAAATGATGATTCATGAGGATTGATTCCTCTGTATTACACTTGATAGATGAGAATAGATAGGAGATTGAAGTTAGTGTCTATGTGTAAGTAGCATTATTTTGAAGCTCTTATAGTGTGCTTTTCATACTTCCATCTCGTTTACAGCGTTAACCGTTCTCGAGTTCTCTTCGGAGGCGAGTATATACGCCTTTCCGGCTTCTTCAAGCCACCTTATTCTCACAACCATCATCAACAACAATGTCAAACATGCTGCCATGCCAACTAAAAAGCCTAGCAACAACCCCTTTAGCCCAAGTGCAGCTTTGAATGCCAAAACAACACCCAACGGTAAAGCTATGAGATAAAACCCCCCAAGATTAGCATACATCGCCAACCATGGCCTAGCTGTTCCACGAACGATTCCTCCACAAACAGCTAAAGGGAAGTTTACAACTTCAATCACTGCCATCAGCAGCATCGTCCTTTTCACTCCTGCTACTATCCCTTTATCATGGCTAAACAGAGGGGCCCAAATACCTCTCGCTCCTACCATTACCAAAGCCCCGACGCAACCCGAAACTGAGCTCACCGCAATCGATACGTATGCAGACCGGTATGCTGTGACAGGCTGGTTTGCGCCGAGCTCATTAGAGACACGAGTGGATGCACATGTGGCTAGTGACAACATAACAGAGTAGAGCAAGTAGTCGAAGTTTAGAACAATAGCAAGCACTCCGACCGTCTGCTTGGCGTTCCGTAACCTACCGGTGAGCAAGACCAAAATCTCGTAGCACCACCATTCAAGGCAGGTGGTAAGACAACATGGTCCGCCAAGCTTAAGCAGTCTAAGCCAATCTTCAACACGTTGATCCCGCCATCCTCCTTCACTCCATTTCCCTCCCTTCCGATTTTCTTTTGCCACTACATATAAGACTAGAAGGATTGCAGCTATGAGATCACTTATCCAGATTGCCATTGAAACCCCTTCAAGACCCTTAGCTTTTGCAAGAAAGATGTTAATTGGGATGTGAAAAGCAAGCGCAAGAGCCGAGCTAAACATTATCGGAATCGTTACGCTTTGAGAGCTCAAATAGGTTCTGAGAGGGCATAACAACGAAGTGACAACCAGATCAGGGAGAAGATAGAAGAGATACGTCTTTGCAACAGCTGAAATGTCTTGTTTTTGGCCAAAATGGATCAGAATTTTGTCAACATTGAGCCACAGGAAAGAAATAGGCAGCGTAGTTAAGAGTAACAAGATTGTAACCATTAGAAGTGTCTTGTGAAGGAGCCTAAAGTTTTTAGCTCCAAAGGCTTGACCACAAACAGGTTCCATAGCCCCACAAAGTCCATTCAGGACCGAGAAACCAGTGACATTAGCGAAGGTGAAACCGAGTGTGCCACCGGCTAACTCAAGCTCTCCGAGCCTTCCTAGAAACGCAGTAGTGACCGCTATCTTGGCGAACCAGGTTAGGTTCATGGCCACCAAAGGAAGTGCTATTCCTCTCTGTATTTTCAGCTCCGAAAGCATCATCTGCAGCAGGTTGGTTGGCCATTTCTTGGTGGGATTTGAAACTGAAGGCGGCAGAGATATCTCTTCTACTCTGTATGTTGTTGCGGTTGCAAGCATTCTCTGTTGAATCTTGAGCCAAGTTTGGTTTAAAATCCAAAAATTCAGGGTTTCTTTAGATAAAGATGGATTGCTTACTGGCTACGGCTAATGCATGAGTTCCGTGAGGGTGTTAATGTGCAAATATGATGGCTTTTTATTGGGAGTGTGTAACGGCCAACTAATGAAGGGAGAGTTGGGTGATTGATTTATAATGCGTGATGATAATGCAAATTCATGATTATAAAATGTATTTTCAGGGACTAAGTAAAATTTTATATTAGGGAATCAAATTTATAAAATTTTAAGAAGATGAAAATAGAATTTCAATCGATAATGTAAAGAAATCTAAAATATATAGAAATTTAAAATTTTTAAGAAAGACGATTACTTTCACCCACTTCCTCAATCCATCTTTGTACGCTTGATAGGAATGAACGCAAGATTTAGGGTGAATTTATAAAATTTTAAGTAAACGAGAATTTATAAAATTTTAGGAGCGACAAAAACATATTTCATTAGAAAATAAAAAAATATTTAAAATATATAAGAATTTAAAATTTTTAAGGAGGAGTACCGCTCTCACCCGCTCCCTCTAGGTACATCCGTGTGCACTTCAATCTTTTCACTGTTTTTTCTTTTCTTTCCCATAGAATATTTACATTTTTTTTAGTTTTTATCTCAATAACCTTTTTTTCTTGGGCACCTGATCCATTGCTCATATTCTAACTTAAACTTTTTTATTTAATTTATATTTTTTATTTTTATAATGAAGAAAAAGTTTTCTATATTTAAAATAATAAAAATAAATTACAAATATTGAATAATATTATTATTTGTTTTATTTATTTGAAAAGACTTTGAATATGTATTAAGTGAATATAAAAATTTTAAAAAAATTTATTTTGTCAAACTAAAGTTTAACTAAAAAGTAATATGAAAATGAAGAACTAAACAAATCACAGTCAAATTAAATATTAGTGGAAGGAAAATATAGAATTTGAATCTCTTATAAATTAATTTTTTTTCTTTATTCTCATTCTATACATATTAAGGATTTTTTTAATAGTATGAGGTGGATTATAAGGTATTGTCAATATACACATACTTTGCATAGGTAACTATTCGAACCAAAAACTCTCAATCATTTAACAATGAATGCTTAAATAACTCTGCAGTCTATGGTGTTCGAACATGAGACCTCTAAAAATAACAATAATTCTTTTAATCACTGAAGTAACTTGGATCGTGCACCACTCAAAAGATTCTTTATGCTATTAAGGCACTCAACTCTTTTTTTTGGTCTCATTTCCTAAAGTCAGCAGCAGTTTATATAGTCTTGCCATTTCATATTTTGTCATTTTACAAACAACTTTAGGAAAGCTTTTCTTCAAAAGCAAAAACACTACAAAGTGGTTGTAAAATGAACTTAAGCTAATAATAGATCTTGTGCTGCCTTCAAATGGAAATAAAACACACCATTAGTGGGAAGCCATTGCAGACATTTGAACACCCTGTCTTGCTTCTTGCGTGGAGCCTGCAACACATAATATGAATTGCTAATGAACATTAATTTCCCTTTGATCTAGAAAATGACATAGAAAAAGTAAAGCAAACAATCAACTGATTCCATATTGTTGATGGAATAAATGGTTAATCGCGGTCGTAGGTGGTTTATCTTTTTTGGGCTGTGAATCATAATCGATGAACGGATGGCGATTGGTCGGTGTGAATGTTTTCAATTTTCATGGGAGAGGAGGATATTTTTGACAAATCATAAAAATCTGCTAGAGATTACAATTTTTCAAGAGGCACACAAATTCTAAAACCCTATATTTTGATGTTCTCCCTGAACTTTAATTGCATAAGAGTTCTCCAAAAGTCTTGATATGTGAAAATTAATTTTTTACAGAAAAGATATAATATTTATATAAATTATCCTAGAGTTCGAGTGAGAAAGATTCTAAATGAATACTGCTAGATTTAGTGGCGGAACACAAGAGCAACTAGTGGGGGCATGCCCCTCAAAATTTAAAAATTATAATTTAGACCATTAAATTTTAAAAAAAATTAATTTGACAGCCTAAATTTTTTTAGGAATTTGTAGACACAATTTTTTACCTGGGCGGGGAAAGACCTGTACCTGCTTGGGGTTTTTTTCTTTTTCAAAGAATTTTTGAAATGTGAGGATTCGCCACCAATTGTTTAAGGTGTGATTGTGACACCATAAAAACTGGGTGATTTTAATAAAACATTTTATTTTTATTAAAATACCGAGTTTTAGGGTCTACGAAAAATCCAAAAATCAGGTTCATGAGTCAGTTACACGTATGGAAGGATTAGCACCCCCACAAGCGCCCAAAAATTGGTACCTAGTTGATTACTCTATATTTAAAATCGGAAATTATGAGTTCAATCTTTATTTAATTTGAAAATCATTATGGATGCAAAGTTTGAAAAATGTATACGTTTATTAAGGTCGATAGCATTTGCCCCTAGCATAAATGCGGGAGATCAACTATTGTGCCTAATAACATGATATTGCCTTAATTTCAGAAATCGTGATGCGGTTTTGGAAAAGGATGTCGACCTATTTCGGGAATTACCAGTGGTCACACCCTAAGCATACTTGCGAGAGATATACCATTAATTCCCTAACAAATGAACATTGTCTTGTGTTTAAAAATAAAATGCAATCAAACAAATTTTTATTCATCATAATTAAGCTAAGGGTAAATTAAGGCTCTCTCTATCCTAAAGTGTCAAATTATGAGAATTAAAGAACCTAAAGGCACAAACCTAGAAATGTAGTTCTAATATTAATCCTATTTGATTTTTAAATCAGTTATTAAGTCGAATAACCACGATGGTCCCTCGAGCATTTAAGCGAGGGCTAACTTGTATTATTCCCTAAATTAAAAAGGACTAGATTGAAATCTAACTAAAATAGAGGTTCTAATATTAATTTAAATTATTTTAAAGATTCGAATAATTAAATTGGAACCTCGAGCAAAAGCGTGGACCAAATTAAGAATTCTCCTAATTTAAGGACTAAATCTAAAAAACTAATTAACAAAAAAACTAAGAAACACTAGTTATAATAAACACAATTAAATAAACAAGCACACGTCAAAGGAAAAAAATGAGGATTAAATCACATAATTACAAAACTAAAAGGATTAAAGGAAATAAATTAAATGTAACAAGGGTTAAATTAAACAATTCAAAATTTAATGGATAAAACTAAACAAAATAAAAAAATAGTTTTAGGGATTAAAATGCAAAAACACGTTGAAACTACAGGGCCTACAGGCAATTTTTCCTAAAAATATATAACATGCATAAAAGGGGTAAATCACAAAAAGTCCCTACAAGTGACTAACTTGCAAAAACACATGTAAAGTAAGGGGACTAAACAGTAATTATAACAAAATTACAAAGCACAAATGAAAATGGGTAAATTATGAAGTAGGTCCCTGCACAGGATCATTTTATAAAAACACACGAAACTTTGGGGGACTTCAGAGCAATTTTCCTCGAAATTTGTTTTATAAATACCAACTTTTCCCTTTTCATATTTTTTTTTAATTTTTCTCTTTTAAAGAAATTATAGAAAGAGGCTCTCTCCTCTCTAGAAACTGGCCCGTCGCCGGCCGCCATCATAGTCGCCTTCAGTCGCCGTGTCGTCACCGTCGTCGGTGGCCGTTGGCCACCAAATTTCATGTGCATGCTCCTCTCGACGCAATGGTCACAAATTCAAGCTCAGTTTTGTGAAAAACGGCCCCCAACGCCACGAAATAAGTCGACAACCTCTCGACTTCACTACCCGGATCTCTGTCGTCCACCATTAGATCGGGCCCAAACCAAGGTATGTTGGTCCCGTTGACACAACACACCTTTTCACCGTTCGAATCCGTGAACCGACCCTTTAAACGCCGGCGACATGCTCGGCATAAGGTATCTCTCCTCTTTTTTTTAAAAGCTAATAAAAACACCAGAAAAATACCTTGGAAACTTTTTGTTTTTTTTTTGTTTTTATTACTTTTCGAATGGAAAATGGAACTGGCCTGTTTACAATGTATTTGCTCAGGTTTTATACATGTTTATAGAAAAAATGAAATGATAAAATCTTGTTTGCTTGCTTGTTGTTTCTGCAGGTAGCGTGGAGTGGCCTTCCTCTGGTTGGTATAGAGATCGATGGAAACTGATAGGGACTTGGGGGCAGCTGCTAGGGTTAGGTTTAGGATTTGGGTCGGGTTCTGTTTTTTGGGCTCCAGGTCATTTTTTTAGTTTGGGTTATATTTGTAAAGGGTTTAAGTTTTAATTGGGTTTGGGGCTCGGTTAAAATGAAAAAAATGGTGATCATAACTGCCCCTCTTTGCTCATTATTGTGAAACGGGAATGAAGCAAAGATAATAAAGTGCCATTTTTTGGCTCAGTCTCTGTTCTTCAAGCTACAAGTTCATCTCATCATGATCTTTCTACTGGAAATGTTGGTCCCTCGAGTGAGGCGTTACTGATTTAAAATATCGTGAATCGAGCAAAGGTTGAACAAGTTCTTCATTATCAATTCTCTACTGGAAATGTTAATCCCTCAAGTAAGGTGTCGCTGATTCAAAATATCGTGAATCGAGCAAAGGTTGAACAAGTTCTTCATTACGAACTTCTTCTCCATTGGAAATGTTGATTGGTTTATCGTATCTTTGAGGAGTTTTAAACTTTTCTGAGATCCATTTCTTTCAATGATGAAAAATATGGACTGATTCTTTATTGAAATCATATTCTCCTTCATGCAGTCGTGAAATGAAATATTCGCTAACTTTTTTGAATTCCTGTCAAATATTTAACATCTGTGATGAAAAGAAATTTGTTTGAAGAGGAACTATCTCAGGTGAGATAAAATTTGTTTCGAGGGAAAACTGTCTTAAGTGAGACAAAGTTTATTTTAAGAAAAACAATCTCAAGTGAGATGAAATTCTTGTTTCAAGTGAAACAATTTCAAATTTTATATTTCATGGGAAACTTCTCAAGCAAGATGAAATTTACTTTAAGAAAAACAATCTTGAGTGAAATGAAATTTCTTGTTTCGAGTAAAAACTGTCTCAAGCGAGACAAAATTTATTTTAAGAAAAACAATCTCAAGTGAGATGAACTTGTTTCAAGTGAAACGATTTCAA